CACCCACCCAACTACTAACCTCCCGGCGTGTGGCTTGAGTACGGCTGAGCGGACGGGAAGCCCTATTTTCCACACCCTGTGGTCGTATGTACCAGATGAATTGTAAAACCAAAATATCTATACAGAATGCTTTAAGTGTAGTTACATGGGATTGATCACAAGGGATCCATAAACCATATCAAGCAAATAGTGAGAATGAATCTAAGTGACAGGTAGGTCTCGCTAGTCCTGCTAGTAATTATCTGCCGCTTACTCCGCCTCCGACTAACTGTGCGAGAAACGCTGCAATAAGCACTGCGAGATGCCTTGCCTTCAGCCAAAGATTTCATAACGTCCTTCAGCCCGACTAGGGACGGGTCTTGAAACACCACCGTCATTTTGTTATCGAGTCAACGAGCAACGTCCATACATGATCGCTCGAAATCTACAGGTTCCTACATGTAGTTGTTTAGTCATTCGTTGGTGTATTAACATCTGCGGAGAATTATTCTCGATAATGCATATTGTATCAATTGATGGTAACCCCCTTCCCTACATGTGTTCTTGCTATGATCAGATAACACGTTCCACTGTCCAATTGTCTAGTCCATCCTGCAGCTTCTCGCGGACTTCAAAGAAGGGCCTAAACACCGCTTGGATGATATTATCAGGATGATATCCCTCAGTATAGCCGCCAGTCTCCGGGTTAACAATGCTTGCTCTAATTAGCGGCATGCCGACCACAATCTGAGCCTCCTGCGGAAGCGCCTGTGCAAAGAGGCGGCTGAGAGTTTGCGATGCTGCCTTAGCAGCACACAGTGAAGAGGCCACCACCTGCGGCTCCTTATCAAGCGTGCCGCCAGTGACCAGGAAGAGCGGCCACTCACCCTTAGAGACACGGTCGGTGTTGGCATTGCGGGTGAACCACTGGCCTGCGACGAGGGTACCCACCGCAGAGACTTGGAGGTCGAGATTCAGCCTCTCCGGAGTGACTTCCGTAATGTGTGACTGAGCGACATGGGCGGCATTGTAATTCAATACATCAAGCTTGCCACCAAACTGTTGAGCACACCAGTCCAGGGCGCTTGTCAAACTAGCGGGGTTGCCGGCATCGGCGGTACGGTAGATCACCTTGGCGTTTACGCTTTTCTGAGCGGCTTTGACCTCATCGGCGATATTGGACAGGTTTTTCTCAGAGCGAGATATGAGGGCAATGTTCCAGCCCACGTTTGCGAGCCAGAGGGCAAGCGAGCGGGACATGGCCGATCCCACGCCGATGATGACGATGGAGCGGTTCGGGCTGACGTTCATGGTTAATGTTCTAGATAGTGGTGATGATCTCGATCAAGGTTCTGACGGTGTGTGCCAGAAAAGGGTACTTTCCTGAGCACCAAATATAATATATATAAGTGAAGAGAGTTATTAATCGTGCCGACCAGGGATCTGTTCGAACGTTCGATATCATGCAAGAAAGAACCGTCACAGTGTTGAAGATAATCTCCGAGACGGTTTGATGATCCCCGCATATCATTACATAAGTGCGGCCCAACCTAAACAACGGTTGGACGGCTCACACGGTTGGGCAGCCCATCCTGGTATCCCATACAAAAGATGTCTTTTGATACTACTATATCAAAACCACTACTAGAGCTTGAGAAGCAGTAACTTTATAGATAGAGTATATATATAAGAATAAATAACTGATGATTTTTTCAGATTTTTTGAAATTTCCTTTATATGGAATAGATTGGAAGATTTACAAATGTAGATAGAATACAGATATCGTAGTATAATATAGTTTTAAAAAAATTTCTTAAGATTTTGAAAAGCATCTGATAAGTTTTAATATTATTTATAATCTTTATATCCAATTTGAACTCGCTCAGTCCTCTGAAGGTTGAGATATCTTATGTTTAAAAGATCTTTTGTATTGGATTACTAGATGGGTTGCCTAACCGTTGATTACAATATCCAGAGGGTGGATAGTTATATCAGCACATCCACCAATACTAAGTTGCTAACTTCTTTCACACATTATTGTCAAGTACATATTCTGCTTCGCCAAGATGGCTATTCTGCATCTGGTTCTTCTGAAGTTCAAGCAGGATGTCGCTGCAGCTACTCGGCAGAGAGTAAGTGGCAATACTGCTCGTTAGCACATTTCGACATCGAGGTATGGAAATGGAAAAGTTTGACATTCGTACCGACACCATCGTTCGAGTTGCTCCTGGAGCAAAAGAGGTCCACCTGTACTCCCACGGGAATACGGCAATACTGAGAAGTTGGGCATCGAAAACAGGAATTGCAAGGCTGAAAAAAGTAAGCTGGCGTAAGCTTGGTGGTCTTGATCCCTCACTAACCTTGAATAGCTAGAAGCACTATTCGTTGAAATTTATCCCAAGGTAAGATGGGGACTTTTGCTCATCCTAGCGTGGCTTGATACGTGGCTGGCTCTCAGCAGTGCTACAACGAGAGAGATTGTAGGGAGCACCAGGAAGAATTTGAAAACAGTCTGCTGAAGCGCTGCACTCATCTTAAATCTTTCGGAGTTGATGTCATCCCATACAATGTGTCTTTTAGAGAGACTTCTAAAAAAAAGCCGGCATTACAACGGCCAATGGGCCCGAAAATCGACTGGGGACCGAACATACAATGTAAGGCTGCTAAGCCTGAATAAAGTCCTGTATTTGTTTATGCTGACTTCAATCTGAATTAGGCCTAAATCGGGCGAATAGATTGAAGAACTCTCTGGCTACATGGGATTTATGGCGCAAATCAACAGTCATCTTGAGGGTAAGCTAAAGGTAAAAGTAGCCATCTTAGATGATGGCGTCAACCTGGTCGAAATTGAGGAGGAAAACCAAAAAGGGGAATCCTTTAGTCCAACGCAAGAATACTGGGTTGGGCCTTGCAAACACGGGACGGCCATGGCGAAGTGTGTCCGACAGATCTATCCTAGCGCAGAACTCATTATCGCCCTGTTGGATGATTCACGTTCAAACGATAGTCAGCATCCCTTCACTATTAGGTCATGTACTCAGGTATGCATCACATCACTGTCACCCTAACCAAGCTCCCCAAGGCTAAACAGAGGTAACGACCAGGCACTCCGATATGCTCTGAGAATGGGAGCAGACATTATTTCCATGAGCTGGAGCTTGGCGAGAGAACAAGATTCCACAGACAACGACAAAGCCGAATTCGAGAATCTAGTCAGTGAGACTACGAAACGACAAGGCAATCCTTTTTGGTTCACACCCAGATGAGAGTGTCAATCACGAAATAAGTTGGTTCGCCCCAGTCGGTCTGGATAGTGTCATCAAGATCTGCTCCGCTACTGACTATGGCGCTATTACCCAAGAGAATCTCCATACAAGACCAGACTTTCTTCTCCCGGGCGAAAATGTTGAAGGTGTCTGGAATGGGGTGCCTACGGTCCGAGGAAGTTCATTTGCTACTGCCTATGCAGCAGGACTCGCTGCCTTGGTGCTGTATACACTCCAGGCCAACAAGATATTCTCCGAGGAAGATGCGGAAGATGATTTTGAGGAATACAAACTGGCATTGGAAATAGTGAAACGACATCAAGGAATGATAAAGGTTTTCCGGATCTTGGCCAAGAAAGATGCGGAGGACATAACAGCCCGCAATTGCTTTATCCGGCCGAATTCGAACTCAAAGTGGATGACACTTTTGATGTGGACCTCAAAAAGCATTTACGGAAAGTTGTATCTCAAATTGTTTCCCAAAAGGTCCTGAAGGCTAAATTCTCATGACCCTCGTTGCCTGTACATAGCTAAAGAAGCATTGGAGCCACACATTCTGCTATATATAGAACAGGCAGCTCATTGTTCAGAATTAATATCAAATAACTACTCGATACGACAGTGAAAAAGATAGATTCTAAGGAATTGCCGGTTTCCTTGTTACCCAAGCAACAAACCCCCACTAGCACTTCAGTTGACATCGCTTGCAAGAGCAATTTGGATTTTCTCGCTGATTCAGTGTGGTTGGGCCCTTCTTGTTAGTGGGAGGCTAGCCTAGGCTAACCTTTAGTGTATGTAGCGCGCCCGTCTGCTACCGACGCGCCCGAAGTCCCGATCAAACCTGAGGATTGCTGAGGGTGCCCGGATCCCTTGCGGACTGGAGGGATTTCCGGTGCTCGAGCATCTCCTGAATATTCACTCTGAGCTGAGCAACGTTTCTACAAGTCCTTTCCAACACCAACCCTCGCAGTTCATTTGAATAGCGATTCAAGGTTACGATTGCCGCATATCTTGGTGCGGCCGAAATAAACTGGTGCAAGATGTCTATCATAAGCCTGCCCATAGAGATATTGACTCGCATTTGTGAGCATCTAGAGCCTCAAGAGTGGGGTGCGCTCCGGATTACATGCCACCAAATATATGGCAATACACTGGAGGCCTATGCGACGCGCTACTTCAAAAGTCTCTCACTTCTTCTTACTCGTGATAGCCTTGGCCATCTGGTGGAGGTTGCAGCAAGTGAAACTCTTCGGAATTGGGTTCAAGAAATTTGGATCATTCCTAATTTGTTTGAGGGTTGGCCACAAAAGGATAAGGAGATTCAAAAGTTTGGGTTTGTCAATAAGGAAACAGAGAAGAATGTTAAGAATGATGCGCGGTGAAAAGGAGGAATCAACATCAACCAATGCTGAGGCTGAGCTTGACGCTCTATTTGCCGCTTACGAAGGTACATTAGCAGAGCACCGTGCTATCCTTGACTCAGAACTTCTTGGGGTCCTTGAAAAGTGCCTGCCGCGCCTCAAGAACGTCACCACGGTCGGATTACGGTCTTACCCCCTTGAATTCCTCCTCTCGAAAGCAAACTATCGTTCATTTCGCTGCCTTGGCTTACGGGAATTGAAGAAGTTCAACACCGATGATGTACGTGGTCATTTAACATTCGCAAGTTTCCGCAAGGATATGTTGTCCACGCCTTTTGGTTTGGCAATCTCACAGGTGCTTCATGCCATAATCAAATCCAATCGGAAGGTCCGATCGCTCCATACGTGCGGCAATTACGCTTGCGGGATGAACTTGGGGTCCTTGAAATTGCCAGAGTCATGGTATAGATTACTGTTGCCACTCTTGAGCGATCTGACGGCTCTTCATATGTGTATCCGCATTAAGGATCACGAACAAGATAAATTTGAGGAAGAGACCTTCAAACGTCTTCTCAATATTCTGGTCACAGTTGCACCCAAATTGAAGATACTGACATTTGCCCAATGGAGTCCCTGGGAAGAATTAACCCCCTTGTACTTTGAGGAACTCTCCGAGAAGATCCGGTTTTCCCAGCTAGAGGAAATTCATCTCCACTCGATTGAGGTGACAGTGGATACGCTTAGACAATTTCTTCAGACAGCAGCGCCAACCTTGAAACGGCTGAGTATGAATATGGTCAGCTTGACGGATGCGATAATTGCAGCGCGAGATCCAGGGCCAATCACTGAAGAGAGAAGTAGTTGGGGCTCTTCATTGTCCACTGAAGTGATAAACGAGATAAAGATGCTCTGGATGCGGAGCTTTCAGTTTTTGGCAGATAATCTGGAGCTGCAATTTGTCCAGTTGTCTAAACTTGGTTACCGTGGGAGAGAAATAAAGTTGCAAGATGACTTATATATGGAACGTGGGCAGCCGGATGCACAGCCGGATTCATGTGCACAGCCTTCTATCGACCCGCACGATTTCTATTCTGATCCAAAGGGTGGCCATTTGCTAGATTTCTATTTTGATGCTGAGAGAGCGAGTATACCTCTCAAACGATGGATAATGCAGCTTCAAATGGAGATGTGCAATCCGTTGAGCCGTGCACCTTGCCGACTCCCAGGGACCAGCGGTATGAGCTTCAACCGGGAAGGGATGAGGTCCCTTATTATGTACCAACCGGGACATGTGCCAGTGGAAGATCCTGGAAGACGGTCGGCGATTTCAGAGTTCTAAATATGTTGGATAAGCAAGGATACGATGAAGCGTCGATGACAATTACAATAGACTCGTCCCTCTGAGGTATGCACATGTAAATAATTAATAAATTTCCAGATGTCAAGGTGGGCTTACTAGTAGTCAACATATACTATTAATACATATAAGCTTCGGCAAGAGAGAGAGCAAAGAATTTGGGATGCAGTAGTCCTGGATTTACTCATCTAACTGATATTGAAGAAGACCTAAATAAGTAACAATAAGAATAATTATCTGTAACCGAAGGCTATTCAGAGATATATAGACTGCTTATACTAGAGCCACAATGATAAGATAGTCATACTGTTATATACAGGCATGTGTGCTAACGGAATTGAACTAATGGATATTATAGTAATAAAACATGTTCTAGTATACCAAAGGTCTGCCTGAAGGGCTACACCGAATGTTTTCTGTTGGGTAAAGTGCTTGTTGCATCCAAGGACATCTGAGGAAGAACGTCCATGCCGACATTCGGGTTCCCGATCACGGCCTGCGCCGCGCCATGCAAATGGGCTTGAATCTCTTCCGAGGCGGAAAAGATATGATATAATGAATAATAATATATCTTCAGTATGATAAAAATAAAGCTACAATCAGGATTATGCGAATATAGGCTGATAAACTGTGTGGATGATTTGTAAGAAGCCAGTCTGACAAATCCAGAGTCCAGTGCCAAAGCCAGGAAGGAGCCCCCACTAATAATGATATTGACAAAGGACCTCATAATTTTATTCTTTACTTTTCTTATATGATAAAGCTATACCTTCTCTCATCAAGTATTTTCGCTGATTATTTTATTGGCATTAACTTTGAATCATCTCATGGTGAATACCTTTATGCATGAGTCAGTCTCCACTATTAACAGTATATTTAGTCAAGTACCATATTATCTGTCTACATCTTAATTAACCGGGAGCTCACTTATACTAGAACTGTACCTATCTCTTTATTATTAAATTCAATTTTATTGAATAGCAAGAATATTACAAGTCTATAGACCTGTCTATGCTGACTTCGCGTCGCCTATCTTACCTTTAATATGTAATATTACAATAACAGCTTTCCAGACAAGTGATTTCAACAGTGACGGTACCAGACTTTTATATAAAAATAAAATAATATATTTTATATTTATAGATATAGATTTGTATATGTTACGTTCTGCTGAATTTTATCTAAATAATTTATTATAGGGAGACCTCCTCGTCTGTAGACCTCATGCATATCCCTCTCAAGACAATTCTCCTGTCTAGAGGCCCTTCCAAACAGACCTATATCTTCGTATGAATGAGGCAGCAGATTCAATTATCACACATGCTAAGACCGCAGATCAACTTAATCATTCGCCTTAGTCACTTCAATAACAACTTTGCCAACTTGCTGTCCAGACTCTAGCCTTTGATAAGCTTTGCGATATTCCGCAAGAGGATACACCCGATCAATAACAGGTCGAATCTCGCGCGATTCCATAGCTGCCAGCATCGCTTCAAAATCCAGCCGTGAACCAACAGTTGACCCGGTCACCGTGAGGGACCGAGAGAGTATATTCATGGGTGGCAGCCCGCCACCGAAACCACTTGCAAATCCAATCACGACAACCACGCCACCTATTTTAGTCGACGCTGCAGACTTCACAATTGTCTTCTCTCCAGCAATATCTAGCACCTTATCAACCCCCTTGCCATCAGTCAGGGCAAGTATCTCGCGATCCCACTCAGGACAGGTGCTATAGTTCACCACAGAATCCGCGCCTAACTCTCTAAGCTTAGCGGCCTTTTCATCCGAGGAAGTGATTGCCAGCACGCGGGCATTAGATAGCTTTGCGAACTGTAAGGCAAAAAGTGAGACGCCTCCCGTGCCCTGTATCAGCACCGTCTGGCCCGGATGCAGCGGGTCGATCTTATTTAGAGCCGTCCATGCTGTGACCGCCGCACAGGGGAGCGAAGCAGCCTCGACATAAGAGATATAGTCCGGGATACGAACAAGTGCGTCCTCATAGAACACCACAAACTCAGCCAACATTCCATCTATAGCAAAGCCGACGCTGGTGGATATATATTCCGGGATGAACGGACCCCCGATCCAGGCCGTGGCGCATTGGACAGCGATCCGATCGCCGGGCTTGAATCGCGTCACGCCTTTGCCGACTGCCACAACCTCGCCGGCGCCATCGGAGAGGGGGATGACATCCTTCTTAGTTTCCACGCCATATTCTCCCCTCAATAGGACCGAGTCGCGGTAATTCAGCGAAGCAGCGTGTACCTTGATGAGCACTTGATGTTCGCCAGGGCTCGGTTTGGGCTCATCTCGGAACTCAGTACTAGATTTAGTGCCGGTAGAAACAACGCGAACGACTTTCATTTGCGACATGGTTGGGAACGGAGAAGGGGGTAGAGAAAGAGAGAAATTTGGCAATGTGATATAATAGATCAGATATGCCTGGCAAGGATTAGTAGCTTTTTATACCCCAGGTATAGAGCCCCTCGACATTGCGCTCAGCGTAATGTGACTAATTGCATTAGTAAGTCAATTATTAAGCGTTGTAGAGTGCTTATTAGTAAAAGTTGAAAAGAAACATCAAGAGCTTTTTCCGTGCTTTTTTGGGGATTTGCAGGTGGGATCTCCGAAAGTGGGCTCTCCGAAAAGGTGGGAGGTGCAACATATATTGTGATTGGCCATAGGAGAAGCTTGATCTAAGCAACAGCTCATCTGCAATGTATAAGGTTCTACTCAGCCAGAAAGCTATTACCAAAAGGCGCATCGACGGCGCCACAAGGCACAACATATCCGAGATCAAGGCTCAGATGTGCCAACATGTGATAAGACGTGTAGCCACCGGTAAGCATATCGCCTTCTGTGGATACCTGAGCATTGTAGCTCCAATTCTAGTTTACTATGAATTTGCTTAATCGGATCGCAAATTAGCTTACCAGCTTCATAAGGCTTTGACCCAGGCTCTGGTCTACTGATAACAGATGAGTCATGGAAATTATGGTCCCACATAACCATGGGAGCTTTTATCTGTTATGTTGCCACACCAATGTAAAAAAATATCATTCCTTGACTCATGGCAGAATCAAGTCCTTCTATTCAGTGCTGCCACAAAGAGCACGTGTCATGCTGGGCATCAGCCCTACGAAAGCTTTTATATACCACGTGCCGACAAAGCGGCAAAACTCCGTCCCTAATAAGTAAGTCCGAGCAAAAACAGGAATATCAGTCCACTCGGCATCCCCAGTCAAGATATCTCATCCGAAGCCCTACCAGCCATGCACCAGTCAAACAGTGCTTGGTATCAACGTGGATGAAATGGTGCGCTTCATGAGCATCGCATCTTATCCACGGCTCCACGCACGTGAACCCGCATGCGGCAATGATTGGTTCGGCTCCACCGAGCTTTATCTGATGCCACCAATGGCACGAACGCATGATAACAAGGATGAGATCCCTTTTGCGGCCGGCTCCTGATTGGTGGTCACACTTGCATACGCATGTAACTATCCTAGTAGTAGGAGGCTACACGCCCAGATTAAAACCCTGCCCTCGTGCTCATCCTGCTTGAGGGCAACGGAATTTTTCACCAATCCATCTCCTGCTGGTATCTTTTACTTCGTCACATCGCGATGTCTGCTGAGAACTCATGGCAAGACTCTCAGTCGAAGGATGTTGGCGTCTTGGAGACACACGTCCAGGCTGTCGATACTCCCGACGCTGATCCTTCGGCCGAGTTGTCCCGCAAGAGACAGAGTCTCTCCGACTTTTTGACCATTGTCGGTACCCCCCTTTGAAAACAGATATACTTTGGTTGCATAACTGCGTGGGAAAGGTTACTGACTGGCATTCTAGCTCGCTAGTGGATTCGCTCTCATCAGTGATGGCTACCAGAATAATCTCATGTACTTACCCCGCAGACGATGTGCCAAGCACCCCGCTGATTGCATGCAGGACTATGACCAATGTACTCCTGAAGGCAGAATACCCCAAACAATACGTTTCGGCTGTATCTACGCGTGTATCAAATGCCCTGCTTGTTGGAGAAATTATCGGCCAGATCGTCATAGGGTATGCCCGGTATCCGTTTCTATCTGGAAGGAACCTGCTAATCGTGCGCCAAGTCTGACATGCGACTATGTCGGCCGCAAAGCTGCCATGGTCTTCACCACCCTAATGATCGTAATCGGTGGTATCCTAGCCACCGCATCGCACGGTGTCACTATCGACGGCATGTTCTGGATGCTGACAGTTTCGCGTGGTATTATTGGCTTTGGTACGTGCATGAACTTTTCCACGTTGACTTGAGTGGTGCTAATTGTCTTAGGAACCGGTGGTGAATATCCCGCATCTTCGGTTTCAGCATCCGAAACAGCCAATGATTTGACCTTGAAGCAGCGTGGTCCAGCTTTTATCATGGTGACCAACTTTCCGCTGTCATTCGGTGGTCCCTTTGCCGTTTTGGTCTTCTTGATTGTTTTCTCAGCCTGCCAGCAATCCCACTACAGCACCGTCTGGCGCGTCTGCTTCGGTATCGGGTGCATCTGGCCTCTGTCCGTGTTCTACTTCCGATGGCGCATGCTAAACTCCGCACTCTATCGTCGCGGAGCCATCAAGAAGCAAGTACCATATGGTCTGGTGATTCGTTATTACTGGAAGTCACTCATTGGCACTTGCGGCGCCTGGTTTCTCTACGGTACGCACCCTTTACCACCAGCTGATCTATCAATCCCATCTAATTCTAAGCACAGACTTCGTCACCTTCCCCAACGGCGTTTTCTCCGCCACCATCATCTCCTCCGTGGTCGGGGACGACTCGATCCTCAAAACCGGCGAATGGCAACTCCTCCTGGGAGCCATCTCCCTGCCCGGTGTCTTTCTTGGAGCTCTCCTCTGCAACAAACTCGGTCGCAAAAACGTAATGATGATCGGTTTCGGCGGATACCTCATTTTCGGTCTCATTATTGGCTGCGCGTATGAAAAAATCACCAAGATTATCCCACTCTTTGTGGTTTTCTACGGCTTCATGCAGAGTTCTGGCAACTTCGGCCCGGGAAACATGCTCGGCTTGCTTTCATCGGAACTCTATGCCACCGGTGTTCGAGGCACTTGCTATGGATTGTCTGCGGCTGTGGGAAAAGCAGGTGGTGCTATTGGTACCCAAGCATTTACTCCCATCGAGGATAACCTAGGTAAAAAGTGGACGTTCATCATTGCGGCTATTTGCGGTGTTGTGGGGATTTTGGTGACTTATTTCTTTGTTCCGGACATTTCGGGTGAGGATTTGAGATTCCGTGATGAGAAATTCCGGGCCTACCTTGTGTCGAAGGGGTGGGATGGTGCGATGGGTGAGGATGATATGCAGGCCTTGGCAGATGACAGCATTCCGCCGTCTTTCAGGGAGACAAAGTGAAGGGGGGTCCTTGTTGGGTATTGGGACGGAAAAGATGGTGAATGGTTTGTTTGCATATACCTTTAATGATTTTCATGATTGATGTCTTGAAAGAATTAGTAATAGCTTAATGAAGTACAAGGAGGGTGTCTGCCACTACGAAGGGGTTCGGCCAATCCTTCTAGGGTCGCAACCCCTTCATCAGTTATAGAGAGAAGGCGCGATGCCCTAGGATTTCCTGATATTCTAGAGATGTTCTGGCATGTTTTGACTAGAGAACTACGCTCCATCCTTCATCCTTTGACTGGCATGTACACTGCAGGATCTTTTTGTAATCTCGGAACTCCATCTGTGGCGATCAGTGAAACAAGGGGTACATCTAGGAAGTGATTCCCGCGCTCCAACCACCTCCCTGGGACCTGCATACCCGCCCTGGCATGCAACGGTTGCCAAGGGGTGGGCTTGACAGCACGCCGTTGGTGGGGTTTATTCAGTTGTTGTGAGCTTGTGAGGATCAACACACCCTTAGTGCTCTCTAGCTCCTTCCCTGATTTCTCGGTATCCAGGCTCCCCTTCCCGTGCTTCTCGTGCCAGTCAGTCATAGACAACATAGCAGTGAGGTATAACCAAGTGCACTATAGCACGTCCAGCAGGATACTGCACCTATAAGGAGGTCACCAATGTAGTGGTTCCAGTTGACAAATTCTATTCCGGTTTCTGTACAGTGCAATAGCATTTCTGCCTTGCCGGCTGAGCTTACTCTCAATGCCATCTTCCCCGTGCTCTCAGGTATACCAATCAAGAACTCTGTCAACTTCTGTCAAATTTTCATGAGTCAGTACCACCACATTATGGTACCAGAGAACTAACAGCAAAGCCAGTCGGATCCTCTCTCTTCTTATATCCCCAAGGGGTTCTATCACGTAAGCATTTGCTTCGATAAAACAGTCCCCACACTTTCCTGGACAGGAACAAGTAAGTCGGGTAAGGAATCCGCACCGTTACACAAAGTCTCGCACGGTAGATGCAGGGTCTGTTTTAAATCCCTCCATTAGCCGTTATCTGAATTGTTGTCCGACTTAAATTATCTATCTTCTTTGGTTTTTTTATAGGGTGTATCTCACCCTTTCTTTAAAACACCATCCTGAAGCAGTCACAATGAAGAAGAACACAGGCACTTTCTGGGCTCTCATCCCAAGCTATATTTCTCTGGTAGCTGCATCGTCATGCTATGCACCAGACGGCTCACAAGTAGCCAGCTCAATATACCAGCCATGTGTCTCTATTTCAGGTGTACATTCAATGTGCTGTAAACTGAACGATGCGGATCCAGATACGTGTGATCCCTCAGGACTTTGTCTAACAAGCGGAGGAGCATATTATCGGGAGTTCTGCACGGACCAATCGTGGAATTCGACGAATTGTTTGCCCAAGGATATCTGTGGCAATCAGGTTCGTCTCTTCCCCATGTGCAGCAGACGACCGAGTAACTAACTATATTTGTAGAACGGCGGAAACTCCGACTGGACCTACCAACTGACTAACTGCGGCGATGGATCCTGGTGCTGTGGTAGTACCACTGCCTGCTGCAATACATACGAGACATTTACTCTTGACTCAACACTTGTCAAGTTTCCTTCTAATTCCGATTCCGATTTAGACTCCAACTCCAACTCCAACTATAACTCCGGTTCTACTTCTGGTTCTGGTTCTGGTTCGAATTCTGATTCTGACTCCGATGCTTCTGCTACCTCTGCTGCCACAACAGGAACTGGGACCCCACTGGGTGACGATAGCAGCGGCATCAGCAGCGAACAGGATCAGTCCGACCCTGACAAGATGAAGAAGATCGCGATTGGCGTCGGAGTTGGAATACCATTAGCCTGCATAGCCGTGGCTATGCTGGGGGCTGGATATGTCTGGGGCAGAAGGAGTATGAAGAAGGAGATGCAGCCGAAATTCCAACATCGCATTCTGAGTCTTCCGCTGGAGAAGCCAAAGGGCGAGATTGGATGTCCGCGTTCCGCGGACGATGCTTCAAGTGTGTCTCATTGTCTAGAGATGGTGCGAAGCCCATAAACATGAGATGAAGGGGCAATGGAAAGGAGTTTCTTGGGGTTTGTAGTGGCTGTCTGTTTTGCCTCAGGAGTATTGTCTGTCCCGACTTCACTAGGCTGTTGTTGTCCCCGGTGGGGTTTATTGATATCCCCTTTGTATTATTATACTGGCCAAATGTCTGGGTGATCATAATGTATTATTTAGATAGTCTTAATCGATACCTGGTTGCTGTTTCACCTCCACTTTGCTCTGATTGTTTCTTGCGTTTCACAGCTGGTATACCTATAATCATCGTGTCTTTTGAATTCAAGATATCATGAACCCCCGGGTAGGGGGCATCTATGCTACAGCATAGCTTTTGGAAGGTATTGTTCAATGTTGGAATAGTGACAAGACCTTTTTACCCTACTTACAACGATAGACTTCTCTGCTGAACGTAACATCGTTTTCTACATCCTGCAACCACTCAGCCTTGCATTAGGCCCGTGACAGCTGCAGCCAAGACAAGGCCAGACTATAGCCTCATCCTACACGCTCTGACCAGCAGATCGGACATGCTACCCGTCCACCTCAGCACTCGGCGCTTAACTCCCCAACAGATTTCTATCCGCCAACCATATAGCAAATATAGCCGCTTGCCAACATGAGTCGGATGCACTTGCAGTTGACAATCATAGATAATCCAGACAACCACTCAATACATCCCACCCCTACTTTATATATATACTGAAACCGCCCAACCCCAACAGCACGACTAACAACCACACCCCCTTCCAAATGCCCCAGTCCACAAAAACAAATCAGAATCTTCCACCACTCCACACCTACACCATCGCCTACATCACCGCCCTTCCTAAAGAACAAACCGCCGTCCTCGCCACCCTCGACACCATCCACCACCAGCACATCCCTACTCCCGCAAGCGACAAAAACACCTACACCCTCGGCTCTATACCACCGCACAACATCGTCCTAACCTGCCTCCCCACCATGGGAACAACCGCCGCCGCAGGCGCAGTGACATCTCTTCTTCACATGTTCCCGTCCATCAGGTTCGTTCTGCTCGTTGGCGTGGCGGGCGGTATTCCGAGCAATGGAGTACGATTGGGTGATGTGGTTGTTAGTGTGCCGGTTAGTGGTGGGTACGGGGGTGTGGTGGGGTGGGATATGGGGAAATTAGTAGCTGGGGGTAAAATTGCAATGCAACATGCTGGAGGGAGCTTGAATCGACCGGCGAGTAAGTTGCTTGGGGCGGTGAATCGGTTGAGGAGCGAGTATGAGTTGTTTGGGGTGGGGGTTGGGAAGGTTTTAGGGACTTTGGAGGGGAGGGGTGGGTTGGGAAGGGAGTTTACGAGGTGCGAGGGGTTGAGGGATCCGATTGGTTTGGGGGATGGGGAAGGATGGAGATGGTGGTGGTGGGGTGTTATAGGGAGGATGGTTTGGGGGATTGTTTTTGCTGTTTTGGTGGGTGTTTTTGGGTTTGGGTTGGAGGATGTGAGGTTCAAAGTTGGGAAGGGGAGGAATAAGGGAGGAGAGACGGGTCCTGAAGGTGAAAAGAAGAAGGGAGGTAAGAAGCAGGTGAATGTGCACTACGGTCTCGTTGCATCCGGGAACTGGGCTGTGAGGGATGCCAAGGCACGAGATGCTCTCAATAAGAGGTTTGATGGGCAACTGCTCTGTATAGAGACGGGTGGAGCTGCCGGAGTGATGAATGAGATACCGAGCATTGTCATCCGTGGGATTTCAGATTATGCGGATGCGAGTGCGAATGAGGATTGGCAGGCATACGCTGCTACTGTGGCTGCGGTTTATGCGAAGGAACTGCTGGGGTTCTTGCACCCGTGTGTTGACCATATGGACATGCACTATCTTTCTAGGGTTGGAACTGAGAGTGGTAAGTGGGTACCTCTCTCATGCTTAAGTTGAGGGATCTTAGCTAACCTCCCGATTGCGAAGATGTTTCCCAAGAAAAAGAAAATCTAGGACAAACAGGATCCACTTTCTCCAGACACCACAAACGCCTGGTATCTAATCCGGGTACACCTCCTGAGTACAGTCTACAGTGAACCTGCTAGTATGCCGAGAGGATAGAAGGTATCCAAACATTAGCGTGTGTGAAATGATTTGGTAGGAGGATCTGTACGAAAGGAGCCAAATCATCGCTATGTTCTCCCTTGTATGATTCACACGATCAACCGATCTACACGTCTTGCAGAAGAAGCCTAATAGAGCTCGAAATTGCCTACATTGGCAGGCGTATCCAACCAATCTAAGCGTGAGATTCTGTGGTGGAGCTGTCTTACCTCTACCCGGGAGGAACAAAAAAAATGCAAAAAGAATGGGACAAGCCGGGCTTGAACCGGCCACCTCCAGATCTTCAGTCTGACGCGCTCCCAGATGCGCCATTGTCCCTTGTTCTTGAAAATTGGCTACACTTTTTGTTATATAAGGCAAAACTAAATACAAGCCAATCGACCTTATGTTATCCGATCGGAGTGGCTGCGGAATTAAATTTTGGGCGACTTTGCAGATCCATGATTATCACGCCAAGAATATACCCGATCGCTCTTGATTACTCGGTACTACTCAGTCGGGTTTAAGTCATGAGTTTAATCTAGTTTACTATTCGCTGCTAATAAGAATGTAGGACAAACTGGCAGCCAATTTTCTCGCGCGTGCTTCTTGATCTATATAGATAGCCTGGAGTGTCATTGACAACTTTACAATAGATTGAAAACAATATCATGAAGAAATATCTTATATTAACAGCCAATATCTGCGCTAAGCAGCGAAAGGATACTTGTTGAAGCGAAAGCAAGTCAAACGCGACCGGAACATGGGCGTGGTGTCCCAGATTCTACAGAACATTTGGTGTCAAAGACAGATAACAGCAGATCTACCATCCGTATGCGGGCTTCGTGGGCACCGAGTTCCAGGAAGCCTGCGGTGTAATAGAAGCTGTCTTGGTGTGCGTTGCAGTCTTGGTGGACGTGACAAACTTGGTGGTCTTGACCGTCTTGGTTGACTCTGCAGTCTTGGTCGTGTGGGCGGATTTGGTACTGGTGGTCTTGGAGGTCTCTGTTGTCTTGGTTGTCTTTGATGAGGTCTTTGTGGAAGTCTTCGTTGAAGTCTTCGTTGAAGTCTTGGTGGAAGTCTTGGTTGAGGTCTTGGTCGAGGTTTTGGTCGAAGTCTTGGTCGACGAGGTCTCAGAGCTAGAAGAAGACGAAGAGGTCGAAACATAAACCTTGCCCAGAGCATTGACCGAGCCACTGGTAAGCAAGTAGTTGTTTGCGGTATAGAAGTAAGCGTAACGG